AACCTTCCTTCCGAGGAGTGGCTGGTGGGTTTGAACCGCCAGCCTTCTGGTTAGCAGTCAAGTGCTTTAGCCACTATGCTACCAGAGCTCCCAGAAATTGAACTCTATGGTGGCTTGTTGGCCTTTGGTTCCCTAATTAATCAAGTTTATGATTGAGTTCTCAAGGAAAGATCATAGATCTCATCATTCTAATTCTATTCTATAGCAGTTAACTAATTGGTCTCCTTTTATAAATGACAGAAAGAATAGAAACCTAAGTTAACAGAAATCTAAGGCATGTAGATCACAAATAGAATTCAACATTCTCCAGAATACTTGAGTGCATTATGACAACAGTGTGTTGAGAAACCATAAATTAGCTAAATATTATGCAGGAGATCCTCTGATTCTTCCTTCACTTAGCTTCCTAAGTGGAGGACCAAAGAAGCCTGTCTTATAATAGACATTCTGCTCTGCAGCAAATAGTGACAGAAGGACCTCTGTGCATTTCACTGAAAATCTGATATTAAGTCCTGTAAAATTATAGCATAGCAAATATTTTACTGAAATTAAGCACATACCAGACTGTTAAAAATTGTAATTTATATTATTAGGATTTTAATTTTAGTGAATATAAAAATGATTTAAGAATTAGATCTTTTTTCTACCTTTAACCATTCTTGTTGGAGTTTATCCCATTCAAAGAAAGAATCCCACAGCAATTGTTTGAGCTTTAATTCAGCACTAACTTCTTCCAAAGCATCAAACTTGGACACTTCTACCTTTAAAAATATAATAAGCAAAATGCATTATTTTGGTTTCAGATACAAAGATCTTATATCATGCTTCTATTAGTAAGTGTTGATCAGTGACTACATGGCAGAATATTGATCCTAAATGTGGAAAGAAAAGGAGACACAGAAAGAAATTGAAAAAAAAAACTACATATAATTTGTTTTTATATGAAAAATATAACTCCTTATTTTGAGGACTTACATATTGTCCAAAGCTATCAATAATATGTGTATCATGGGAATTCTACCTCAAGTTGGATCATACATATACATATTGTTGTTGTTGTTAAGTGCCGTCGAGTCGTTTCCGACTCATAGCGACCCCATGCACAGCAGAACGAAACACTGCCCGATCCC